TCGATTATGAATCCAATCTTAGACTTGTTTCCAATACATTTGGCAAATTGAAGGTAGTTCAAAATAAAACTCTGCGGTCCATACTGCGGAAAAGTCTCCACCATATCAAGGAGCTTGGGGAAGATTTATTACACGGTAGAATCATTGCAAATGAACTTTCAACTGAAACATCTGAAATCAGGATGGTTCAAGACATTGCTGAACTTTGTAAGCATTTTGAAAATGTAGTTTCCACACGTGTCTTTTGGAATGTAACGTGGAGGTTCTTGGAACATAAGGAAGCAGAATTGAAAAAAATCGAAAACTATACAGGCTGTGACGTTTACGACGAATTGTCATTGTCGTTTTTGTTCGATGAACCAAACGTATACGGTTACGATGTAAAACCTTTCAGTTTAATATCTGCTTTAAAAATAATAGAAATTATAGCGACAGATTGTTTGGGCAAATATAAACACTTATGGCACAATTTTGAACGCAAAACAGACCACACTTTAACTGATATGGAAACAATGTTCATGGGAGTTGAGGACATGCCTACAGAGATAAAAAAAGCAGAATATACATGCATTTTGCATTTGAAAAACCAAATACGAAATGGACTCATTCAGTTTTCCAAAATCTCATCATATAGGAACACTATTGAATCTATAAAGATTGCTGCTAAGGCATTCAAATTTGACAAGCACGATTCTATATATTTTGACACTGTGCACAAATTCGAATTTCTGCTTAAAGAGAACGCGTCCAATGTAACTTTTAAGGAGATTATACCAGTTCTACAGAAAATCGACAGTGTGGACAGAATAATAAATGAGGACATCCAAAACATCTTACAGGCAATCAAACAGTCGTCTGCATTGCTTGAATTTCTACAGGAAGTGGTAGACGACGACCTGCGAAACCTGATCGATGCAGTTGAAGAACATTCTGAACAGTATGTCCAAGAATCCACTGTTTCTGACCTTATTGAAATCAAACGATTCTTTCATCCGATTCTTAAAGGAAAGTTTTTGGAAAAGATGGATGAATTCTTCGAGCTACTACAAAAACAGATCGACAATGCTGGTAATAACAGTATTCCAGAGAAAATCTACATATGCAGAAACAGCCTCCATTCGTTGAAAGCTCTCTATCGAAATGTTGCTAACAGAGGTGAACGTACTGTTGAAATAATAGAAAATATTATTCAAAAAGGAACCTTCCATTTTTCCTTGAAATCTGGAACATGTGAAGTAGTTGTTCAGTATGCACAAGTGAAGAAGAAATACAAACATTCAATTGCTGATTTAAGTGATCTTCGGAGCAGAGCTCTCCTGTTAATGAATGCAGAGGATAAAAATACAAATAAACAAAAGATTATCCGAAAGGGACAGCTAGAAACGTTTGTAAATTTAGTAGATGAAGCATTCGAAATCGCAGCACTTTGCTTACAGTTGAAACATGCTGGTCATTTCAGTTTTGCTAAATACGAGGAAATATGTCTTCGCGAAAACATGAAAGAAATAAAGCAACACTTGCTTTGTCAATATGAAGAGTGGAAATCAGAGATTCAGTCATGTCGCCTGAAGTTTTACTATCTGAATTTTCTATATGGAAACCAGTTGTATCAATTATATTATTTTCTTTGTGAGGACAAAAGAAACCATATAGTTGTAACAGCTATACTAAGGTTCATTGATCCATCAATGGGAAATTTAGAACATTTGACAGACATATATAATAGTCTTCTAACCTCTACCAACAGTGATAATATATGTGTTCTTGAAAACATCGGTAAGACATTAGATAAGCTATACAGCGGATTACATACAACCTCGCTTAATTTCGTAGAATTTCAGCGACACACAAAAATCACCGATAGAGTTCAACCTGGAATACCGTATATAACATCCCTAGCCAAAAGAAGTCCTCTTGTCATAAGAACTTTATTAGCACTATATTTAAATACTACCGGATTATTTCCCAAAGCTAATCAAGTTTTGTTTTGTAGAAGAGATACCACATTTGAAGAAATATCTCTTCTTTTGAATCGTTGTATGCAAGAAAAATGTCCAAAATCTTCAATGCGATCTTTGTACTCAATTGCAAACATCGAAATGCTACAATCTCAAATACAGTTTTATCTTCATAATGAAATTCGGCGACTTCCAACGGGAGAAGGTTTTTTGCTTTGTCTTATATGCCGCGGTCACGAAAATCATCCATTTTTGGACCAGTTTTCGGATATGCTTTCAAGACCATCTCCTCTCTCTGAGCTTGTACTTAAACAGATTATGGGTGATCACTGGTCCCATGTAACTGTTGTAACATCAGATGTTCCTGGATTAGGGAAATCTGAATTCATCCAGAGTAAGGCTATTTGTTTGAAGAAAAGGTCAGTTTGTATTCATATTAGTGGACCGTTTAATAGACTTTCTATAATTGAAGACATAATTCGACTTGGACCGAAAAATTATCATGTTCTGCATCTTGACATTGGTGCTGTCTCTGATCCTGCCGAATTAGATTTATTTGTGTTTGAAATGATTGTTTTACGGCATATATCAGCAGGATCGACAGCATATGCTCTATCATACGATGATATATTCATAGAAATTGCAAACACTATAAATGATGAACTAGGCAATTCACTACAGACCATAACTTGTTTCCAAAGGGAGCATTTACAGTGGATGGGTTATACAAATTTGCGTGTGAGCTGTGAAATTAACAGTCCCATTCAAGTAGTTTGTCATTATTTAAAGTCACTCGATGAAGGTTTAGTTGATACTCATGACTTGTATTTTACTGGCACTGAAGCTTTAGAACCATTAGAAAATATTGAATGTAGGAAAGTTCTTGAAAGGCACTTTCAGTCTTCGGGAGATATGTCTTTCACAATGATGAATGTTTTCATAAATGTATTAGCAGATCAATTGAAAAAGTTATCAGCTAGTGTATTCTTCAGAACACCGATCCTTACGTCGATGTTAAAAGAAAATGAGCTTCCAACCATTAAGTCAAGCTTAGTAAAGGCATTAGAACATGTTTCCAAAGATTTTGCGTCGCGGTCGGTTAATGCTTGTAGGTCTGCACAAGCAGAATCAGGAAAATCATCCGATACAGCAGACATTTTGGCTGAAAGAACTGCAGGAATGATTCGTTGGGAAGACAGTAATCATTTGGTAGTTTTGTTTCATCAAAACGTTCAGACTGTTTCGGCTTTATATAGAAATGTACATGATGTCCCAGATTCAGTCAAAAATCTATTTGAAAGTCAGGTTAAAAACAAGTTGGTAGATTTTAAAGAAAAATCAAGCGATGAATTGAAAAATGAACTGTTAAAGCTTACCCGGCGGTCGTCAAAACCTATGGATACCACGGAACTACAAGATGTAATGACTAATTACGTTTTAACACCCGATAATTTGTTGAAGATGGTACTTATTTCATTAAGAGTTGATAGCAAAGTTCCGGTACTGATAATGGGTGAAACTGGTTGTGGTAAAACATCATTGATAGCATTTTTAGCCAAAGTATGTGGTGTTGATTTCGATGTATTTAGCATACATGCAGGTATCGAAGATTCAGACATTACTACAAAGTTCAATCAAGTGAACCAAAGTGCTCTCCTGAATATATCGAACACGTTCTGGTTATTTCTGGATGAAATCAACACTTGCAATCATCTTGGGCTAATTGCAGATTCACTCTGTCATCGATTGCTCTTTGGAAAAGAACTAGCTCCGAATCTGACACTCCTAGCTGCTTGTAATCCATACAGACTTCGTGAAGAAAATGAAATACTGACAACAGGATTACAAGGGAAAATAAAACAAGATGCATTATCAAGGTTAGTGTACAGAGTCCATCCTCTTCCTGAAGCTTTGATTGACTACGTTTGGGATTATGGAAATCTAAGCGAAGACGATGAAGTATTATATATTTTTAAGATGGTTGATAATGTTTTCTCTGAAACAATCCTGACCCGATTATTGGCAAATGTTCTGGTTAAATCACAACGCTTTGTCAGAACTGTTGAAAACAATGACTACTGTGTAAGTCTTCGAGATGTTGATAGGTGTCGGAGACTTGTGAAATGGTTTGACAAATTCCTGTTAAAGAAAAATCACATAAATTCAGTTAGAGATAGGCAAGTAAGAGCAATCATTTTGGGATTAGCAATGTGTTATCACAGTCGATTTCCAGAAGGTAACAAACGACAAAAATATCGCCAAGAAGTACAAAGATGTATATGTTCTACACTATCTTATAAGATTACCGAAGACGACATCCTGACCTATATATTTACAGAACAGAAAGATATTTTAGATCTGATGACGGAACTTCCACCCGGTACTGCCCAAAACGCAGCTTTACAAGAAAACGTGTTTATGTTGTTAGTTTGCATCTTGAACAAAATACCGATATTCCTTGTTGGAAAACCAGGATGCAGCAAGTCATTGTCAATGCAGCTGATACGCAGCCATCTCCGTGGAAAGGATTCGTCCAGTCATTTGTTTCAAGATATGCCACAGTTGTTTTGTGTATCATTCCAAGGTTCAGAATCGTCAACTTCTGATGGAATCATAAAAGTGTTTCAAAAGGCTGTGAAATATCAATTGCATAATGATGCTCGCGATGTCTTGTCTGTTGTTATCCTAGATGAAATTGGATTGGCTGAGATATCAAAATTTAATCCATTGAAAGTGCTCCATGGCCTGATAGAACGTCACGACGAACAACTAAACGTTGCAGTGGTAGGAATTTCTAATTGGGCCTTAGATGCTGCAAAGATGAATAGAGCAATTCATTTGTCAAGACCAGATATGGATTTAAATGATCTTATTTATACTGGAAAATCAATAAGCGAAACCATGACACCCAGTCAAGAGGTAGGTGCATTCAGTCTTGATACGAAACATACCAGTTTACAACAAACAGTGCACACTGAACTACTCGAGGGAATAGCAAAAGCTTATAATGAATACTATTTGCACGAGCTGAAGTTCCCCAATTTTCATGGACTCCGTGACTTTTATTCTTTGATCAAATATTTGGGAAGGAATAAAGATATTTGTGAGAACACAGACGACAATGAAGTATGTGAAGTTATTCTAACAGGCATATTTCGTAATTTTGGTGGTCTCCCAACAGAAACAAATAAAATTTTTGAAATATTTAGGAAGTATATACCTGGAATTAGATCAAAAGAAATACCTGTAATAAAGCTCATAGTTGAAAATATAACAGACAATTCATGTCGTCATTTAATGCTTATAACGAATGGGGACGCTGTGATCAGTATTCTTGAAAATCAAATAAATGAGTTAGGAATGCCTTTTGACATTATCTTTGGTAGTAGATTTGAAGATGACTTAACAGATGCTTACAACTATAGAATTATTAGCCGAATAATTCTTTGCATGGAACAAGGTATGGTTTTGATACTAAAGGATCTTGAATCGATATACGGCAGTTTATACGACATGCTGAATCAAAATTATACGGTTGTCGGGAAGAAGAAACATTGTAGAGTAGCATTGGGACATTACAGCAACCCAATGTGCCAAGTACATGACAACTTCAAATGTGTAGTCCTTGTCGAAGAATCTAAACTAGATTACTCTGATCCACCTTTTTTGAACAGATTTGAAAAACAACAGGTAACATTTTCTGACTTTTTAGGCAAAGAAAGCTTGAAAAAAGCAGTTGATGATCTTAATAAAGAAATGATTATCTTTTGTAAAATTCCGAATCATTCCTTCTCTCCGTATGATTTGATACCATCATACAGTCAGAACTTGCTGATTTCGCTTATAATCAGATCGCAGCATCTCGCTAAATGCACTGCATCGATCGAAACAGTTAAAAAAGTAGCATTTGATACTTTACTATGGCTTATTCCACCGGAAGTTATTATTCGTTTAACGGAAAGTGTGTTTTCAAATTCAAAGACTTCTTCTGAGATAAATCAGATAATTAACAAGTATATGCAATTGCCTATTCACAATGGTTTATGTCATTACTTTGACTCTTTACACATGGCATCTACTGACATAAAGGAACAAATTGCCGAAACAGAAGAAATATTAAAGGAAGCTAATGATTTAAAACATGTTGAAATATTAGACGGAGTTGGGATAGAATACTTAGATATCGGACAGTGCAATACTCTTGACACCCAGACACCAGACAACGCCATCCGAGAGGATTCGAAATTAACAGAAGATGTGACCAATTTTGAAATTGATGATTTCAGAAACAGCTTTAAAGAACAAACACTGCAGGAAGTATGGAAAGAAAACGCAAAATTGAATGATTTTACAGACAAGGAAATGGCATCAGGATATGATTCAGATAAACAAGAGGCCAAATCAGATAGTTGTGCATACTTAAATGTTGTTTACACATTTTCGGGAATAAATGCCATAATAGATACTTCTGGTAAATTGAGAAAGCTTCAGAGAGACAAATTGGCCATTTTTAAATCAGAAAAACAATTTTCCCTCACAGTTGAAGAGTTTTTCCAGTCTGACAATGATATATTTCTATTACATTGCATTAGTTCAACAGAGAGCCAACACTTATTGCTTGTAAAGGGAATTATAGAGAAACACATTCGAACCCACAAGATAGATTTGTGTCAGCAGGGAAAATATATTTGCATTGTTGTACATTTGGAAAGAAACGGTTCTTACGATATACCGCTGACCTTTCTGTCTGGTTGGAGATTATTGTTTATTGATAGTATCCGGAAACCTCGAACTTTACTTGAACAGTTCCTTAGTGTTGATATAGTACAAATTTTAAGTGAACGAAGACCTTTAGATAATTATATCAAAAACATGATGTTATGGGCCTTTTCTAGAATACAATTCACATCGAAACATGTCTCTGTTCAAACTATTGAAGATTTGATGACCCGGATGACTTCGTCCAGTGAAGTGATTACTACTATAGAGGCCTATATTCTTAGTTGGACAAAGAAAACATCATTGGATTTTGATGTTTTTGAACAAGGTAGTTATGAATTACAAAATGTGGCATCAAGTTCATCGTGCTTAAATGTGGCTAAAAACCCATACGAACTATTGAAGGCGGGATCTTTTATTGATGCTCTTGAACATGGCATTCAAGAAATTATTAGACATCCACTTACACTTTTCATTTTCAAGTTAGTGGAGCAAAACTTATTAAATCCTATATTTGTGGAAGATTCGAGTACTCCTGCAAGAAAACTTGTATGGAAACAAATGGTTTTATCAGAAAATTACGTCAGCACTGATGATATTCCTCCACCGTCGGGGCCCGAATGGTATGTATGTAGTAGTGAGCCTTTAAACTTTTACATGCCTTGCAGTCAGGTATTAATGATGAAAATTGACTCTAGGAAAAATGATTATCTTGAAATCATAGGACGACTTCGAATTGATAATTCCATCGACCCAGATGAAGAAATTCCAAAAGATCTTTTTGAACAAACAACCACTAGCTGTATTGATTTCATCTGTTACGAAGCTATAAACATTTTAGAAGAAGAATTTACTTACACAGATAGAAATAAAGATTTTATTCGCGATTTCTGCAATTTCCATTCCTTTACCATGCTGAGTGAAACGAATGAATTACAGAGAATTAACATTTTCAAATGGGCGCTATCGAATTTTATAGACCTTGGCAAACTGGAGCACTATGATTTTCTCGGTCTTATTTCAAATATGCATGCAGGTTTATGGGTATATGGCCAGGTTATAATTGCAATATGTGAAATGGTTAATTTATTAATTCGGTCAATTGATATTTCAATTTTACCAATTACAGCTATGAATTGGTTTAAAGAATTTGGAAATAAAGCGAGCTATGTTGTCACACAAAATAAAGAAATTCAGCTGAATGGCGATCATTTATCTTTCAGTTTTAACGATAGTGGCGGAACGAAGGATCATGAAATTGAAACGATAAACAGTGTATCAACTCATGACGTTGAATCAAGCGACGTGATGGAAATAAAAAAATTGGTCGAATATATGGTTACATATGTTACTTCAGAAGAACCTTCCGAGACAGACAATAACTTATATACTGGAACGGATAACAGCCCATCAAGGAACAATGAAAATGATAAGATCGTTTGTCATCGAGATACTAAAATGCAACTACGATGTGATATGATCAAATATAAAAGCAGTTCCATGTCAAGAGAACAATTGGTGAAACACGTATGTTTGTCGCTTCTCCCAACAAGAGAAGTATTGAAGGACCTAGACATAAAGGAATGGCTCGGTCTAATAAGAAATGTGCTTCCTTTGGCTCATATTGTTCATGATGATTCATGTGAACTAACGGCTTTGAAGTTTTGTCAAGACTTGGCAGATTTTAGGGTAGTAAATGAAAACATCCCTGTTGCTGACATCAATGATTTAGGACAATGTATTCTTGAATGCAATGGAAATTTGGATTCAACGACTGTTTGCGAATGTTTATATAGAATATTAAGAAAACTTAAGTTCGAAAAATCATTGGAAGCAAGCAAATTACAGAAGCTTTTTTGTTCCTATATTTTGCGTTGTTTGATTTCAGCACAAGACAATACCGAACCGTTGAAATTTGTGTTAAGGGAAATAACGAGGAATGACTTTTTTGATCAGACATTGTCATATTTTGGACAAGTTGTCAAATTTGCAGTCATCATAGATTTGAGCGAAAATATGGACATATATATAAACATGCTAAGAGATGCGGACAGTTTTGAGAGAGAGCAAAATTTTAGTTACTGCTTTGATTTTTATTTAACTAACCTTGAAATCACAAATACTATCAATCTGTCGCTACCAATCTTATTGTTGGACACGCTAGAGCATTATGCGTTTGATGAACATCTCACCATTGAACACCTTGAATCAATAGACAGTAATTCGGACGAAATACTACAATGTCTTTCTCAGTCCTGTCAGATTTTGGAAACAGTTGCTTTCTCTCTCAAATTCATCGTTGCATTAGCATTCATTAGAAAGTTTGTGTCACTTTTTGTTGACTTGCTAGAATCTACAAAATACGACTGCTGCAGCTTCCCAATTCTTTCCCAGCACATAAATTCAGCTATGGACGTTTATACCAAGAGCGAGTACGGGGAATTATTATCTTCAGAAATACTTCATTTATTAATGAAACATATTGACCAAAGAGTGGGGCATCAACATATTCAGCAAAAATGTAACATGGTTGAATCATACATTCCGGTCTTTAAAAATGTCCAATGGGAGAACAAATACGTGGAGAGATCGGCAGTTTTCAACCCATTGTTCCTCCACTTGGATAAGAAGTGTTTTAATTTGTTCCTTGCTCATATAAATTGCGCAGGCCATAAGAACAATAAGTTGAATGATCTATTGTTAGAGAGAAAAGGAATATGGAATTTCGTCTGTCTCGTGACTCAAAGTTGCTTTATGAGCAAATGTTTGAGGGAAAGAAACGATAGTGAGATACAAGTAGCTAAACATATATCGAGCTTAGTGCAAAAATTACAAATCACAGAGGAACTAAAGAACATTATCGACAAAATGCTCGGAATGAAGAACTTTAAGCACAACTTCTTCAACTTATCTGTGATGGTTGAGTCTCCACAACCACAAATCGTATCTTTCATGATTCATCTGGCTTGTATTGTTGGAAATCTAGCCAGTCATGATAACTTCTGGTATCAGCTGATTACGAAGCCTCGTGCTATAGCGTCGTGTAATGTACCATACACAAGGTTCAAAAACGTGCAAGAAAATGAGTCGTCAAGCAAATTTTCTGTTATTCCAAATATTTCTGGAAACATACTGCAATTATTTCTACATAGTAGTCTTGTTTTGTCTTTGGAATTAGAAACAACATCTCTCGAATCTGTTAAGAATAGTGTAGGGTTTGATTGTGCTGATGTATCTGACTATTTGGAGATGCAGCTCCGACAATATTGGCACAGTTTGGAAAGTGTTTTACAGCTAACAAGTAATGACTTGTGCATTTTACTACATAGTATTCTATTTAAGTCCCTTAGCTTGTTTACGGTCAAATATCAATGTGCAGACGTGAAAGACGCATATACCAGGCTTATGACAGACCAAGAATGTATTATACAACAAATAGTAATGGACAGATACACCATTATTCACGAGTCAAAGCAGCACTCTGCGTCACTGTATGATAGAAGCGAAACGTCAATAGACAATTGTGTCTTAGAAATAACGCCATGTCAATCCAGTTCTGATATGAACTTTGTTACACAATTATTCAGAGTGTATAAAAAACCTTCAAAACTCATTATGTTTGCCGATCTTCATATGACAACAAAACAAGAGTTTCCCTTTCTTCGGCTTGTTATTGACAACCTGGATAAATTATGTTTGCCACAAAAGATGTTATCAATTTTAAAATGGCATTTAACATTGGTTACATATGTTAGTTACAAGTATCGGAAAGTAGATTTTAAAGATGTTACTGTTTCAAAGATTATAGCCGATGAGCATGACTATAAAAGGAGAGAAGTGTTAACATTGTCTTTTGAGTCATTTAAAAATGATTGGAATGAAATACGGTCTCGTCACTGGCAACATTTAAAAACTGAAGATACCAACTTGCAAGTGCTGGAGTTAATGCAACCACTGACAAAGATGAATTATGCTGCTATGCATGGAGAAAATTCACAGCTACAAATAGTTCTCAATTGTTTAGCTAAAATTCAAAACAATTTCCTTTGCCTGGCACATAGCTTGAAATCTATCAAAGAAACTCCAAAAACTATCCCGTTACTTGATATCAGAAGTAAAGATTTGTTAAGATTTGAATGGAATGACCGTTATTTGCAGTTTTCACAGTGTGATTCCAGATATGGTTTGAGTCAAAAGATAGATTTTGACTTCGAAAAAATAGAACAGGAAATACAGGCAGAAGTTTTAATTGGAAAGTGCTTGATTGATGTCCAAGTACTTTCAAAAATAACTTTTACAGACAATTTGTTCCGAAACACCGTAGAACTTTTAATGGACCTACAATCAAAAATGTATCAATATCCTTTAACTACAGATATAAAAAAGGAAGTAGTACAGAAGAGTGAACGAGATGCATCACTTATATCTGACATGCTGACACATACTGGAATAATCCTTTCGCTTATCAGAAAAACAGGCGCTCAATCAGAACAGCCTATTTCCGAATATCTACAAAGGTGGGAGACTGTTTTAGGAATTTCCTCCTTGGAATTGAAATATATTTTCCCTGCAGACATCAAGATTGGCCATATCATTCCTTTCTATCAATGGTTGGAGGAATTAAATGGAGAGAATTTAGCCAACTCGTTGGGGGATACTTATCGTTTGCAACTTCCAAGAGAGGGTCGGGATTGTTTGCTAAGATTTTCAAAAAGCAACATGAAGTCAATTGAAAAGCTATCCCATGCTGTTAAAGTATTTGTCCACAGATGTCTTTCGTCTAGTGATAACGTTATTCGGCCAGATCAATCCCTGATTGACTATTTATGTGATGAGCATTTCTGGTGGAAGGATGATTTTGAGAACGGATATGTATTGTGTGAACATCTCCGACTTTCTCTGAAAGATTTGTTGTCACCAGCAATTCAAGTTGAACATATATATGAGGCATTACAGTGCATAAAGGATTATATGGAGGTAACGTATAATTAAAAAAAGATATAGTACTCAATTTTGACAGAGATACTCTATAACTGCCAATAAATTTAATTAACGTGATGACATTAATTTTTCCTATCAAAAACCTTTGATTAAATAGCTTCCTTTAAATCGGAAGTAGTCACTAAAGATTTCAAAAGAGATATTAGAGTACGTACAATCAAAGTTTCTCGCTTCGTGCAGTAGTATTTAAAAAATATAACTTTTCTACGCAATATATTATTATTCCTCGTGCTAAACTTATAAGATGGGTAAGGTTTAATTAATTGAATGAGAGAATAATGTTGGGTTAACGTCAATGAGACGGCAACTCATATTTTAAATAATCACAAGTCACCTAGAGTTTACCATGCAGCAACAATGAATGAGCAACAAAAAAAGCAGACATTCATACTGATCTCACAACATATTCCACATAACAAGGTGAGACTGGCAGCTCAAAAATTTTGTACTCTGTATTTCAGGATTCTAAGCAAAGAGATTCGCGTGTATCCGGAATTCCAATTGGTTACCAACCTGCTGGACTAAACGAATTGCCAAAACGAACAAGAAGCAAAGTTGTGAAGAAATTTATGAAAACTTAATCAAGTAAGGTGACATTTTCGGATAAACCTATTTTCATAGTTGATAAACAAGATTCATGCAGTACTTGGTGATCCTGAATCTGCATCCAGATCAACAATGAATATTATTATATTTTATAATGACAAACTGATATCTGACTGGTCAATATAATTGCCATTGTAAATATTGCTTTTACCCTTGGCTTTTGAATTTTCACTGATTTATTATAATGATTTTTTATCGGAAATTTAAACTTTCAGTCAGATTCTGTTAAATTTTTGTATAAATAGGAATAAATTATAATAGGAATACATTGACATTTAAGGGTTTATTTAAGGTATGTTGATTTAATCCTTGTCAATTGTTCTCTTTGGTTGGAAGATGTTTCATTCATTGTCAATCATACCACATCTTTTAATTATTATATGTTTTATATCAAAATTTCTAAATAATGAAGCTGTATTCAGTGCGCTTTTCGTGTACATAGATTGATTTTATTTTTGTTATAATTGTGTATATCAATACTTTAATCTAACAGAGATATTTTCTAACTACTAAGAATTGACATGGATTGCTGAAATAAATTTAAAACAAAATAATGATAAATAAAAGAAAATCGGTCGCTGTAGATATGTCAAAATTTGTCTTTAATTTACTTTTTCACACTTTCTCCTTTATCAGTTTTTTTTATTATAATTTATTTGATACCTTTAAAGTTTAGTTTTTTAATGAATTGATATTGAATTGGGCAAATCGCCTTTTAATTTTGTATGGCTATTGGCAATGAAATACTGGTGTGATATGGTAATAGATGCTTCTGTGAAGTAGAACTTTCATTCTGTCCTTACAGAGACAACGGATTTTTAGGCTCCATATATTATTCTTAAGTAAGAGGCTATTATTAGATATAACATGTATTATAGGCAACATTATATATACCAATAACTGTATATGTAATAGTAAAGTCATTGTATATTTTTTGTTTTGACTATTATGTTTGGTACTTTTAGTATGCAGTTTATTGAAGACAATTGATAAGGTCATGTTTTTCTTGCTCCATAATCATGGTTAGTAGTTGTGAATGCATTTACAGAAAATTCTTCTTTGTTTACTACATTTAACTTTTATTTGTCATGCACGATTGTAAATAATTCACATGTACATGTATATACAGTTTAATATCTTGAATAATTGTTTAATTCCGCATTGTTTACTAGATAGATAAAACCATGCAAGTACAAAGGTTACAGAGAAGTTAAAAACATGCATGCATACAAAATGTTAGATGTGATGACATAAAAAAAAATACATTAAAAAGAAAGAAAGAAATATAAATATGAGAATTCAAATAAAGTAAATTAACATGTTTAAAAAAATATTATTAGTCCTTTAAAATTATGTTTAAAAGTTTTAATTTTTATTTGTCATGCACAATTGTAAATAATTCACATGTATATACAGTTTAATATCTTGAATAATTGTTTCATTCCGCATTGTTTACTTGATAGATATAACCATGCAAGTACAAAGGTTACAGAGAAGTTAAAAACATGCATGCATACAAAATAATAGATGTGATGACATAAAAAAAATACATTAAAAAGAAATAAATAAATATAAATATGAGAATTCAAATAAAGTAAATTAACATGTTTAAAGAAATATTATTAGTATTTTAAAATTATGTTTAGAAGTTTTAACTTTTATTTGTCATGCACAATTGTAAATAATTCACGTGTACATGTATATACAGTTTAATATCTTGAATAATTGTTTCATTCCGCATTGTTTACTTGATAGATAAAACCATGCAAGTACAAAGGTTACAGAGAAGTTAAAAACATGCATGCATACAAAATGTTAGATGTGATGACATAAAAAAAAATACATTAAAAAGAAATAAATAAATATAAATATGAGAATTCAAATAAATTAAATTAACATGTTTAAAGAAATATTATTAGTATTTTAAAAGTATGTTTAGAAGTTTTAATTTTTATTTGTTTATCTTGAAAAATCGTTTCATTATTGTTATAATTTTATGATGATTTTAAATCTTTAATTTATGGTGTGTGCTCAGAAGTGAATGGATTATTTTTAAATGAGAATTTGGGTTGAGGTTCAACAGAGGTATTGGAAATGGAAAACAATAAAAACATCGGGATGTGAAGCGGGAATAAAAACGTCTTGCCTCCAAACTTTGGGAGAAAAGGGACACTATTGCCCCCCCTCCCCCCCCCTCCCCCCCCCCCCCCCACCCAACTTTGCCTTCACTTCAAAACCCCTTCATTCCATCGATTACGATGTTGTTGTAGTTGTTTTACTACCAAAATTGTTATTAGTAGTGATAGTACCATTGAAGTACATACTTATGATCCAGTATATCAAAACTCCGTATGTAGCCAAATGAGAAATATTCCGTGACCGAGACGAACAGAAGGTTTGTAACTGGGTAATAGGAATTATTTTATATTAGAAAAAAATGTTAGTCTATGAATTTGTCATATGCCATGAACTTATGACATAACTCTGATTTTGTATCTAAATATTTTTCTATATACGACAACTAGTATATTAATTTTGAGATGACATTTGACGATTCCGTTTTCTCAAACTTTGAAATAAAAAGCTAAAATTCTTTAATGCCTTGGGTCTGCAATTATTTTTATGCATGAAATTTATAAAGTATTTAAATAATAGAAACAGATAGAAGACATCATTTAAATCTTGAATTACCGCCCGCTTCGAAATAATTTTAAATAGTTGCATTCCTTAGTTTAACATTTTATTTAATTTAATCAAAAATCGTGATGGCAGGACAAGTAAAACTATAACTATTAGATTTTTGGGGTTTTTATTCCTGAAAAAAACAAAACATAGCTTTATCTACGACAGAAATTTGCTTATGTCTTGGATAAATGTTCAAGATTTTCAATAATCTATCAGAATCAAAATTTTAAACCATCGATATGTATTTACAAGTTTATTAAATGTTACGAAAAGTACAAGTGTGATACTAAAGAGCTTGAGTTATGATTCGTAAAGGCATTTTGAAAATAAATATTGTGTGAATAGATTGTTTGGATAACTATATCCATACCTCTTATTAACACCAAAACTGAAAAAATTGTATCACGTTTTTGCGGGATTTCATTAGTTATTTGTATTTACAATGTATTTGTCTGATTTATTACCTAAATATATATTATGCATAATCATTTCATTACTCTAAGTGTATCAACTCACTAAAAGGACATTAGTGACCTAGAAGTGTAAGAAGTTCCTCTACAATATCACTATAGCAACAAGTAATAAGCACATCGTCATTGTCAAATGCATATTTTATGTCAGTAGGATATAAGCTAGATTAGGTTAAAAACTTGATGGATTGCAATTTAAATATCATATTTTGTGTCATTTCGTAATAAAAATATAAATAAAATATTGCCATCATTCTTATTGTTTATGATAGACAAAACATAATATAATACACAAAAAATGTCTCTCTTTCACTCTTCTCAAAATATTTTTTTTAATAATCTCGCCTGAAAATGTGAATGATTGTCAACTTGTCTTTGTATTACTATAAAATTATAAAATATTTCAAGTTATAACTGTTACAATTATATATTTAATCGTTCTAAATATACATGAAATATTTGCTACTGGACATCACGCAAGCAGTTTTGAATCAGTCAATACTCACATAGCCATACATCAGATATATATCATATATTTTATCCTTGCTTAGTCATATCTAATATTTGATTGAAATAACGTTTTAGCTCACCTGACCACAAGAGTAAATTCAGCTTTGCTCATAACTTGGTGTCCGTCGTTCGTCGTTCATTACTTTTAAAAAAAATCTTCTCCTCTGAAACTTCCGGGCCAATTTAACAAAACTTGACCACAATCCTCCTTGTGGTATCTTGTTATGTGTCCGCCTGCAAACCAACATAGCCGACATGGCTAAAAATAGAACATAGGTGTAAAATGCATGTTTTGTCTTTTATATAAAAAAAAATGCTATTATAGATAGAGAAACTCTGGCGTAGCAGAAATATTTAGAATAATGAAATCTACCTTCGGTCTGTTTTTAAATCAAAACTGTCAGACGACTTCTTATTGGAGTATTGCAATTAACAAATAAATTCTAACTTTTTATTTTCATTTTGCCTTTTATCTTGTAAACAATAAGCAAAATTATCAGCACAAGACGAACAAATAAATTAACTTGGTTGATATTGTCAGCCTATTTTTCATTGGAGTTATTGCCAAAGAATGACAATTCTTACCATTTTTTCTAATATCTGACTTTTATCTTAAAAACTATAACAGATAGAAATCTATATGGCAAACATGATAAGCAAGACAGGATCTACAAATAAATCAAAATGGTCCAAATTGTCATTCAACTCCTTATAGAAGTTATTGCCTTTCAATGATGTTTTGCTTATCATATTGAAGACAGTAATAGATAAATAGAAACTATAAAAACTAAAATGGTCAGCAGGACAAGATCTACAAATACTTCAACATCAGGACTGAAATTATCCGTTAAATATTTATGGAGTTACTGCCTTTAAATGATGATTTTTACCAAAAAGTGACCGTTCGTGAAGATTAAGGTAAGCGTCATAAACCCTTTAGAGCCTCTAGTCTACTTAAGAGGGTCGTCAATACTATACAAACTGGGCATAAATAAAAGGAAATGTGAAATACGTCACTGAGACAGCAACCCATCAACGAGTATAACCAAAAGACATCTAAAGGTCAAGATGCAGTCTTTAACAAAATAGACAGTTGTCTTTAGAGCTTTGAATGAATGAACAGAAACTATTCAAGATCTGCCGCATCTACACAAATTCTATAAATAAGAGAGGCGGAGATATAAAAGGAACATTCAAACTCAAAAATCGAAGACAAACGGACAAAAGATTTGCAAAAAAACGAAAGACGACGAAAAGACAAACAACAGTCTGCAAAACACGACATATGAAAAGTAGAGACCAAGCAACATAGTCCTCACAAAAATGGGGTTTTACATTAAGATATGAGATGAGACAAACAGTGGCAATTTTCTGGACTTTTGTCAGACACATGAAAAGTGGTGTCCAACTAGTATTTTTGAGAAACCGACCTTCCTTTTTTTCTCGATCAGTGGCTTAAAATAATATCATTGTAATAAGTAGATAAAAAGTTTTGAACTCTGAAACATTACATAATCTATAACGAAAAAAATGAAAAACAGAAGCCCAAAGTATGATCACCGTAATTGAGTGCACAACTTAAGTGGTTGTTTTTTTAAAAATCTGCTGATATAAATTGATGGATATATTGCAAAGATGATTTCATTAACAACGCAAGAAACGTCTGTACAGATAGTCATGTCAACGGTCAACCAACAATTTCAAAAACTATCCTAAGATACTTAACTCAACAGAAACACCCATAATATAAATGAATACAATCGCTCTCAAATATGACCCACATAATTACAAAATCAAAGCACCAAGGGCGCTATAGGCACTGGGTTAATTAAAAAACTAAAGGCAAACTTGGCAGAAGTTAAGATGAATATTGGTTAAAATATTTATCTCAGCTATTTCTTAAGTATCAAATAATGTTTGTACCGTAACGTTTCCGCTATCCAATCCTACCAC